AAATTTACTAAGCAATCTAAGTGAAATGGCTAATCTAAGTGAAATTACGAGTAAATTTATCATTAAGTTAAATATGGAAAATCTTAAACTTACCTCATTGCGTAGAGTATGAACCTCATTCTGCAACGATACTATCATCTCACGTAGAGCGGCAACCTCACCACGTAAAGTTGACACCTCCACACGCCATGCACCATCGTTATCGCGTAGAGTACCGATCTCCTCACGCAAGGCATTGACCTCATCACGTAACTCCCTTGACTCATCCCGTTGAGGTGGAGGTGGAGAACAGGGAGATAGGAGTCGTGGCATCTTTGCCGGTCGCCTATCATGAGGTGATGGTGGAGAAGAGGCTCGATGATGTGACGGGATAGGTGATGGCTCTCGTTCTAGAGGTGTATAGTCGGTTCGATCGGGTGATGGCTCTAGGTGAGGTGATGGCTCTCGAATTGGAGGAAGTGGATGCTGCTCATCATCCGTGCCATCAAAAAAATTCTGACTAGCTTGCCACCAATCAGTGGCAAGCTCTTCCTCCGTGGGTGTCAGTCTTTGTAATGGAATGTTGGCCTCCTAAAATATAAAACTCAAACAAAGTTAAACGTCTACTATTAATAACTTGTTTATATATTATATGAAAGTATTTGTGTTAACTTACATTATTTATTGTGGCATATGGTATTAAGTCTTCCCAATCCAACAGAGTTTTCCTCTTCCAGGAAATAGCCCTGGGAATATCATTTGACGTTTTTATTGCATATGTACGCATGCTGGGGAAAGCCTCGAATATCCAAATCTACAAACAATATAATAACAAAATTAGTAATTGTTAAATAATTAATTATAATTTTAGAAACATTATATAGAAATTCTTACCTTAAAGGCCCAAACAAAGCCTGACAAAGTGTATTTGGACCCATCGCCCCGCAATCTTTTGCGGTCATCAAAGGCAGACGACAACTTAGTCCAGGTAGCTTTCCATATATACGAACCCCACGGAAACAGATTCCATGCATTCAGGTCCTCTACCAATATTATTAGCTCCCGATGAATAGGTTGTCTGGCCTCTCTGCCTAAAAAGCCGGCATACACAAGTAGTAGAAGGCATACTCGGACAACATCGACGTCTTCCATCCGAGTGAAACCAGCTTTCTTATTAAATAATTTCTTCAGGTCGTCAACATGTAGGTTCGGCTTCTCCATTGACTCATCCGGAAAAACCCGGGATAACCATGATGGGCGGGCGATATGACGAGTGTACCGGCCTACATCATCGTGTCCGAATCGTAGACCAGTGATTAAGCAGAACTCCTTCCGCCCAAAGCAAGTATACGCTGGTGGAAAATGAAACCATATCTCTTCCTCACCACGTTGTATACTGTCGGGTAGATTTGATGTCATGGTCTGAAGCCACAAATGGGTCAAATTAGCATCTCCACCCGGATGCTGTACTCTCAGCCATGGCCCGAAGCAGGTTTCCTCAAACAATTGTCTTTGAGCAGGTGAAAGCTTCTTTGCAATTGTAGTGGCCAGGCTGACTTTATTTCTCAAGGTCAATTGAGCCGAAAAAAATTTCTACAAAAACAATAAACATACCAAGTTAGATATACCAAAAACTACACTGTGAAGATATACCAAAAACAATAAACATAAAAAGTAGTAGTTTATTCTTGAAACTAAAATTTGCAACACTGTTTTGTCTTTTGGTTGAAATGAAAATCGCAACGAGAGAATCGCAACGAGAGAATGACTGTCGCAACGAGAGAATCGCAACGCGAAATGAAAATCGCAACGAGAGAATCGCAACGCGAAATGAAAATCGCAATGCGATTTTGGTTTCGCGTTGCGATTCTCTCGTTACGATTTTCATTTCGCGTTGCGATTCTCTCGTTGCGACAGTCATTCTCTCGTTGCGATTTTCATTTATCTCGTTGCGACTCTTCTGCAAATTGAAACTTGAATGGATTGCATTACTTCAACCAAAAGACAGAACAAAGACAAAGACAAATACTAACTTGAAAATCGCAACGAGAGAATAGCAACGCGAAATGAAAATCGCAACGACAGAATCGTAACGCGAAATGAAATCTAAGTGAAATGGTTAATCTATTATTGAAATGACCAGTAAACTTATCATCAGTTTCAATATGAAAAACCTACAATAATGCAAACATTTCAAAATAAAAATAATTAAAAAAACTAACCCTCGGAGGTTGATTTTCCATTTCTGAATATTGTGAGGGATTTCTGACCGTGAATGGTTATGAGGGATTTCGCCGGAGATGGGGACAGAAATCTTCGGAGATGGGGACGGATTTCTTCGCCGTAGAGAGTGAGAGATGGAGATGGGACTGAGTTGTGATTTTAGGTTTTAGGTTATGAGTTGCGATTACGGGATTTTGTCTTAATATTCTTTTTGTAATTTGAAAATAAAATACGCGTAGCGATTATAATGGCGCTTTAAATATCGCGTTGCGATTTACGGATACGCGTTGCGATTTTATGTATTATCGTTGCGATTTACGGATACGCGTTGCGATATACGGATACGCATTGCGATTTACCCATACGCGTTGCGATTTACGGATACACGTTGCGATTTACGGATACGCGTTGCGATTTATGTGTTCGCGTTGCGATTTTCATATTCGCGTTGCGATTATGGAAAATCGCAATGCGAATTTGTACTATCGCATCGCGATTTTCAAGAATCGCGTTGCGATTTTGGAAACTGATTTGCGATTCTGGAAACTGATTTGCGATTCTGGGGATCGCGTTGCGATTTTTATTTCGCGTTGCGATTTTGTTGGTCATTTTGGCAAATCCAAAAAAAGTTGGTTAAAATCGTATATTATAACTTTTTTTTGGTCACTGAGGCGATTTTCTCTTTTTTTTTATCAGTATATCATAAATTTAATTGACAATAATAATTATATATATATAACATTTCCCCCCGCAAATGTCATCCCCTGGCATTAGCAAAGGAGCAATCTGCCGACAACGATATAAATATTAAAATTCATATGAACTGGTTAGTTCATCACATCACTAACTTTTCCGGTCAAATTATTGACCAGCACCAGCTTAATGGCAACCCTTTTCTTTTTCACTTTTTTAATGCAATTTGTTTACCAGAAAGAACAATAGCAAGCACTCTGAATATAAAATAAATGGAGCATGTGGCCTAACGCCCATAGAAAGTATACTTTCCGTGTCGAGTGTTATGAACAGAAACACAAGTTTGATTTTGAAATAGCGAAGATTAATTAATGTTATATTATTGAGATTTTTTTTAAATATATATTACATTATATTTATTAAAATTAATAATAAAAAAAGACCGTAAGAGGTAAGCAGAAAATGAAGCACGAGCAATTTAACTGTTGAACTTTTTGTCGTCGTGGGGCGGCCGACTTTGTTATTGACCGGAGAGAACGGAACGGGGCAACCGTTTTCGCCACGAAGTTTCATTACAATATCGCCTTACCAACAAATAACGAACGACCACGGTGAGTGCTACCATCCAATTTAAGGGTCAATTTAACCAACCAACTGTACATGAACAACCATTTAACGAACTGTTTGTAAAATGAACAAACGTTTCACGAAATATTAGTGAATTATTTATGTTTATTTATTAAGTTAAAAAAGTAAATAATTTTTTTTATGTTTATTTAATAAACGAACAAACATAAAAATAAATATGTTCAATTCATTTATGTTAGAGATAAATCTAGGAAAAAAAATTGTAGACCGGACCAATGTAAACATAATAATTTTTTTATATAAAATAATTCATATATATTTTTAATTTAAAAATATAATAACAATTATATATTTATATATATGGATTAAATCTAGAAAAAATATATTAATCGAACTAATATAATTTTCTTAGCTTAATTCATATATACTTTTTATTTAGGGCAAACTAACTATTTGATCATCCCACATATTACTTAATTTATGTTTTGATCACTTAACTATTGTTTTTTTTTCAAAATCATGGGCAACATTTATGATTTGGTTTTATTTTGATCACATATCGTTAAAAAAATTGAAGAATGATGTTAATATGATATTTTTTTAATCATTTTTTAATCATGATGTGACATTATCTTATTATGATACGTCAACATTACCGTTAATCTTTTAAAGACCAGTGACCAAAACAGAACTAAAATGTAACATTAAATATGATTTAAAATAAAAAATAATTGAGTGACAAAAATAGAAATTAAATAATAAACGAGTGACTGAATGAATAATTTACCTTTTTCGACATAAGGGCTATGGTCTATGTAGACCTAGGCCTAGATACGCCCGGGTTTATGTCATGAACAAACTTATTTATTGACTCTTTTATCTACTTGTTTCAATTATATCCCTAAATAAAAGGGTGTATAGGGTTTAAAGGAGAAAAAAAAAACCGAATTTCAACATTATACAACCGTGATCATGGATGGTAGAAAAAATATTTAACATAATTCTCTAATTATGTTAATTTTAAAATAAAAATTTAGATTTCACAAGTGAAAGAAATAAACAAACTCAAATCAAAATTACTTTTTATATGTATTTATAAATTATTTGTTACTATTTCTTTTTTATAAAAATATATGTAAAAACTAATATATAATGTACTAAAATACGTTATTATATTATAATTTATTTTAATTATATGTTATTATATTAAATAAATTAATATTTTATTAAATCATTTTTTATTTTAACAAAAGATATATAAAAATTTAAAAATTATATTAAATTAAGTAAAGTCAAATATCAGGTTTTCAATTAAATTTTCAGATCGGATTAAAAATTTATTAAACTTGGATTGAATTGAAACTGAATTTTATTAAAATAATGTCGGATCTGATTCGAATGAAAAATATTTTAAACTTGAGTTAATGTCGAATCTTATTAATATAATATCGATTTGAATTTGAATATGTAGTGATTCTTTGTATATTATCATGGACGAATACTGAGAGAAGAATACTTGACTTCAAGTACAAATCCCAACAATCTAACCTTACCAAAGTTACAAATACGTATATATATGTGTATAGCAAAACAAACGAGCATTCCTCGTAGTTAAATGCCTTAATTGAAGCAAACACGAACCCTGCTTTGTGTGAGACGACAAAGAAGAGCAATTTTAGCAGCCATTACGGTCACGCCATTCCAAGAATACAAGAGAAGCGCCATAGTGAGCCAATGCACCCATCACCACTAGAACATGAAAGATTTGATGACTATGCCCCGCTATGTCGAACCATCCGGGCTTCAACCGCTCCGGAATCCGAGTCACATAGAACATGGTCCCTGTTAGATAGGATACAGCCATGGCGAACTCGTAGGCCAGGGTGATGTTGCGACGCGGATTCGACCAGTTGACCATTGCAGCATGGAGTCCGGGGACAACGCCGAAGAGCCCCATGGAAGTGAAGAGTAGGGCTCGGAATGAACGGAATTTGCCTGTGGACAGAGTCGGGGATAGCAGCGTTACAATGGTGAACAGGCCTAGAGCGGTGATCCCACCGAGATAGACGAATTGCCATCGCGGATCACATTGGAAAATGTAGTAGATAGGAGGGAAAAATGATGTTATGATCATGGCGGTGATCCCGGCATAGTCGAGTCGCAGCAATGAAAGGTTTAGATTGTGTGAATGGCAAGAAAAGAGGTGGCAAACGCTGCTGGATAGGAGGCAGAACAAGGAGCCGCATAAGAATACATAGAACGGCCAACGGGTAACAGGCGTCACCGGGACGGTCATATCCAATTTGCCGGTCGCTATTCGATTAAAATCGACGAGATTTGTTATTCCCTGCAATTCTCCAACCATCATCTCCATGGCATAACCAAAATGAAGAGAAAAAGTAGGCCATGACAGTAAATGCCGTGGGACGTACTCACCAGAAATAGGTCTTTAGAATTATGAGAAACATCGGTGTCTCCATCAGAGAGAAATGACCTGCACCAGTTTGCATAACAAAAACTTAACTTGGGTGTTCATGTAATCGTCTTTGACAGATGAAATCTGGTCCGAATCGCGTATTTAATCCGAATCCGAATTTGCTTGAAAAAGCTTTCAAGACTGAACCATCCATACTCTTTGTTTACAATCATAATAAGACTAGTTAATATTATATTGTTTTTTAGATTGATTTATGAAGTAATATAATTAAATTTTTTATATTACATAGACTTTTCATGTCCAGAAATTCTTTAACTGTCTTCAAACCTGTAATGCATTAGGAAAATGTTGGATCCCCACTTATATTTCATTACAATTAATCAATTAGAAAGAAACCCTTGGAGTGTGATCATGTCATTTTTGTTCCTTTGAAATTGAGAAATAAAATTAGGACAAAAACCTTAAACGAACCTGGTGAAGAATGTAATGAGATCCGCTAGTTGTGGCAGTTCCAATAAGTTCGCCATGGTTAATCCCAAAAATAGAAGAAACCCAAGCAAATGCCTAAGCAATCCAACACAAAACCAAAACTTAATCAGAAAAAAAAAAACACCGAACTGTAGATCTTTGTAAGAAGAAATGAAACAAGAAATCATGCTTATTAAACATACGTCCACACATTAAGTGTTTCATTATGCCAACCAAAGACGCTGAAAAGAGCTTCCTTGAGAGACCAATTAGCCCTGTAATAATTCAGTATGAACTCGTTGTCCTTCATGTACTCCGGCAACTCCTTGTACGACACCAAAACACACGAAGACGATGACGACGTCCGCTTTTTAACCTTGTTCGGCCCCTGCCGCGGGCGGTCGTCGTCGCCTAATTTCTTCCCGCTTTTCGTATCGGAAACGAGCTTGGACTCGACAGTCGGATCCATCTTCCCGAGCTTTTTTTTAAAAAATAATATAGAATCCAGAACAAGAGCTTGATGATCTTCAAGAACAATAGAGAACCCTTATGAAAGATTTATATAAAGAAGAACGAATTGATGATGAAAATTAAAAAAAGGGTACTATTAGCTTGTGGGGATGGCAGATAGATAGGTAACTATACCAACTGCAAGGGGAGAGAAAATCAAAAGCCTCCGCCTCTAGAGCTTACTCAAAACTACATGTAATTCATTGTTAATGGAAGAATTCTAATTGTTGCATGCATACTGCAAAAGCAAAGAGCAGGGGAAGGGAAAACAAAGTTGTTGGTAGGCGATCGACAAATATCATGGGTTTTTGTGGGACCCGAATAATCTTTTTGGAAAATCAATTAGCTCAAATTTTGATTATATATTAAGATTTCGTTTAATGGTGAACATGAGATTTAATTACCATACCTTTAAATTTGGTTTACATTTAAGGGTAAAGTGGTCCGTCAACTATACGGTATTATTTTATTAAGTCCTTCAATTATTAAAAATTACAAAATAGTTCTCTTACTATAGAATGTTACTTTATTAAGTCCCTTGGGTATTAAAAGTTATAAAATGGTAACATGACTATTCTTTATGTTGCAAACTCGTCATTTTCCGTAAAAAATGGCGGTTGTCTAAGATGGAAGTTAACATGATGACCGAGATATAATAGTCGTTTGAGATTCTAAGATTAGATTTTATCATATCACTGTCAGCAGATTAACATTCGCTCAAAATACCATCAACTTTTTAATATAAAAGAACGAATTTGGAACATAATGAATAGTTGAGTGACCATTTTATAACTTTTAATAGTTGAGGGACTCAACAAAGCAACACTTTATAGTCGGAGGATCATTTTGTAACTTTTAATAGCCGATGAATTGAATAAAGAAATATTCTATAGTCGGAGAACTATTTACGTACTTTACCCTAAATTTAATTACAAATAAAAAACAATCAGTTCAGTTTAACAATAATGGAAGGTTAAATTTATCATAGTATTAACACAGTTATTCTAAAAACTTCACCTAAAATGTATCAAATAATTAGGTATGTCGACATCATTTGTTTACATTGTGATATTAATAACATTCAAATATATATGTAGGTATCTAAATTTTAATGTTATGTTATTTATATTATTATTTTTGTCATTATTATTTATATTAGATCGATATCGATTATAGACTTTGTATGTATTAAATTAATTTAAAGAGAATAAAAAATATACCAATATTATAATTACATTTGTCCATGGATAAAGTGATTTGCCCTATTCAGTATTTTAAATAATTTATAGTGATTATAATATATTATTTATTCATAATTTTTTAAATTATTAACAAAGTGCGTATAGGGGCGGATGCACTAAGTCCCCTAGGGATCAAGTGCATCCCACTATTTTGGAAAAAAATTAAATTTAGTTTATATGTCAGGGAAAATGGAAAAAATAATTTTTTTTGCATACACATTATTTTTAAGAAAAAAAAAATTAAAATTTTAGACCTCATTCTCAAAATTTTGGATTCGTCATTGCATACACATACCCACAAACACAACTGTTTAACATCAAAATCTCTAGGAAGAATAATATTATCTTTGACCATTGAAATCAGGTGATATATTCGGTATATATATATAATTATAAATACATACTTAAAATATAGTTGTATATCTATTATATAACATATACTTTCTTTGTGGAAGAATTATGTTAAAAAGAGTGAATAATCTCAACAAAATTTTTAGAATAATAATATAAAAAACTACTCAAATAATGGTCAACCGAAACTATTTGTTCGAAAAATGCATTTACTATAGTGCAAGGGTTTACTTAATTTAAAAACAATGGATTAGCTGGAAAATTAGGCAACCGTTTTCTTTTATCACTAAAGGGACAGGTGGCCAACCACAAGACCGTCGATTTCTTTTGTTTCGTTTTTCTGGTTTGCCCTTTTAAGACACTTCAACCTAATGACTGCAAAAAAAAAAAAAAAAAGTCTCTACTTGTTTATAAATTATAAATATTGGAGCAATATTTTCTTTTTAATATTAATAAGTTTTTTGAATGTAAATGTTAATAATTTATTGTATTCATGTTGTTTTCTATATTATATTTTTAATCATTTCTCATTTTTTTTAATTATTTCGGGTAAACTACATGTTTAGTATCCCCAATTATCACTTTTATTTTGTTTTGGTCACCCATTATTTCTTCTTAAAATACCTAACATTTAGTTTTGATTTCCTTTTAGTCACCCGTCGTTAAAAATTAATGGTGATACTGATGTGTCACCGTAAGATATTATCACGCCATTTTTAGAAAAAAAAAATAAAAAAAAATTATCACATTAGTAGTCCTGTTAATTTTTTTACGGTAAGTGGTCAAAATGTAATACTATGTATGATCTTAAAAAAAATCAATTGAGTGACCAAAACGGAACAAAAATGATAGTCAATACACTAAACATGTAGTGTACCCTTAGAGGGTGTTTGATTCAAGGATTGTGAGATTACCGGTAATGTTTTATTACCAATAGTAGATTTTTTTGGGTATATTATCGGGAATGTCATTACCTCCCTTCCCTTAGGTATTGTAACATTACCGACGTTTTGGACTAAAATGCCCTTAAATTTTTATTTTTTTCAAAAATATCCTTCTTATGTCATTAAATAATAAAAATTTTACGAAGATTAAATTACAAATTTATCCTTAAATTATTTTAGATTTACAAAAAAATTCTATAATTAAAATTTTATATGAAGTTCAGGGGTTAAATTTTTTTTATCCTTTCATTAAACATTTTTTATATTTTTAATTTTGTAAAAAAATTATATAAATATTATGAATTTAATTTTTTAAATAAAATATATAAATATTTTACAATTTGTAATATTATACAAATATATAATAAGGACAATTTGGTCAAATATACATTCCAATAATCTTTTATTCCTTTAACCAAACACGGTAATCTTACATTCCGGCTAAACCAACCAAACACAAAATGCAACATTCCCAGTAATCCTATTTCCTAGTAATTTTTTATTCTCACTGGTAATCTTACATTCCGTGAACCAAACGAACACTTAATGTTTTTAATGGTGTAGGCATTATGTTTGGCCAAAATAGATAGGGGCATGCATCCCAACCATCACTGTTTTAATGCTGTTCGGTACATATTTAATCACCGGATTAGATCCTATGTTTATCAGACTGAATTTGTGTGTCCCTCACACTTTATCTTATTATTATTATTATTATTATTATTATTATTATTATTAATTTCATAAATCCAATATTTTATTCATGTCATTTCTTTATATTAATGCTAATGGTGAATTGGTGATAATGTACATACATTTTAACATCTTAAAATTTATATTATATGGTCGTATATTTATGCTGTATTTTTTAAAATTTATATTATATTTTAATTATTTATACATCTAATATAATTGTGTAGTGTATAATATCACTTGACTAGCTGCAATAGATAACTTACAAGTATATATTTTTTTATAATCACTTATATTTTTATATCTGTAAAAAATTATTATAACATAGTTTTTTAACTTTATTCATAATATTAAAATATTAACGTTTCATCTTATTCTATTAATTATTTTTAAATAATAATATAATGCATATATTATGAGAAATTATTGCATCAAGTGTCCTTTTATTCTTTTTTGTTTAAGAAAAGAATATCGGAATTAATTGAGAATTAAAATATTAATAAACCTTCACTGACGTGAGACATATTTCTCACCAAAAGCAATTCTAATTATTCAAAACAAAACTACCGTCTCTAAAAGCGTTGAATTTGAAATCCATTGCTTATTTTTAAAGCAATTCGTCTTTGTATTAATAGTGTTTTATTTATTATTCGATCGATAACTAATTGATTTAGTTAGATAATACGCTAATTTTAAATAATGTTTTTGATAATATGAAGAGAATAATAAAATAAAAATCGTCGTCTTTATAATATTTAATCGAAATGAATCAATTAATTAATGAAATATAAATCGTTATACTATAAGAAGGGTTTTGACTTTTATTTGCTAGTGAGACAAAAAAAATGAATATTACTATTAAAAATATTTTAAAATAATCTCAAATTTTAAAATCTGGATAACAGGTTGATTTGGTTTGACTTCAATTAAAGTCAAGCTAAAAAGGATAATTTCAAACCTATTTATAGCAACAATATTAAACGCTTTAAAAAAATAATAGTCTCACTTGAGTGCATGTTTCATCTTAAAAAAAAATAGCAACTATCGATAATCTTCACGTCTTTGTTAAAATATAGATGGAATATTGATGTAGATTACTCCACGAATGATTCTGAATGCATTGACACACTATTATAAAAGGGATATAAGTATACGAGATTGTCAAGCTTTCCTGATCATAAGGTGTGTTGCGATGAATAAAACACGAAATGGTAAACTATAATGATAAACATAATTGTGTGATAAAAGTAGAAGAACAACCGTGCCATAAAAGCAGGAAAAAACAAACGCTTCAAGAATATACGAAAAGAAAGAAATTTAAATGAGATGGATGTTTTCTTTAGATCTAAAATTTAAAAATTATAAAATAATTGCTATAAATTATAAAATATTAGTTGATTTTGATAAAATTAAAGACTATTTAATAATAATTCAATATTTGTAACAACCATTTTATAATAATTTGATAAATTATCAATTCATAAGTTTAATTATTATTTTGTAATTTCTAAACTTTTAGTGACTGAAAAATAATTTTAACTTAATTCAAGGACTATATGTATACTTTACTCCGATAAATTTGAGTGAAGACATCATTCAAGTCGTTGATCACTAAAGGTCAATGTTGTCCAACTATTTCTTATATTATTTTTCTGCCTTAAAATTATTCGTTGGTGGGTTGTTATTAATTTATTTACTAATTTTTTGGGTAAAGTACACAAATGGTCCTCTAACTATAGAGTACTACTTTATTAAGTCCCTCAAATATTAAAAATTACAAAGTGGTCACTTGAATATTAATTATGTTCTAAACTTGTTATTTTTCGTTAAAAAATTGACGATTGTCTAATATGGACATTGATATAATGACTGAAATATTATAATTGTTTGAGATTCTAAGATCATATTTTATCATATTAAAGTCAACAAGTTAATGTTTATCTCAAAATTTCGTCAAATTTTTAACAGAAAATGATGAGCTCGTAACATAATGAATATAGTCAAATGACTTTTTTATAAATTTTAATATTCAAGAGATTCAATAAAGTAATATTCTATAGTTAAAAGATTATTTTATAATTTTTAGTAGTGAAAGAATTTAATAAAATAATATTTTATAATCAAAAAATTATTTGTGTAAATTACTCTTATTTTTGGAGATAAAAAAAGCAAGTAAAGTACTTGGAGACAGCCATGGGTTACGTCAAAGCTCAAAACAGCACACCATTATTCGTTCTTCTTTCAAACAAAAGAGCCGGTCAGGTCTTTCCTTGATATTTCACACGCTTAAACAACTATTAACTTCATCTACACCAGCAAATAGCGACCTTATTTTTTTTCTTCTTCACCGTTAACAAGCCGTCCTTTGTCTGTCACTTTTCTGGTTTGGTGTGAAATTCTTTCCTGTTCCATCCTTTCTGATGTTTTTATATGTTTTTTGCTGTCTGGGTTACCCGTTTCATTTAATGATTTGGTGAATTGGGTGGTTGAAATTAACTTTGATTGGTTATGTTTTCTGGGGTTTTGAAGGTTTTGGATTTCTCTCTTACTACTGTTCCAAGTTCCATCTATGCCTTTTTTTTTGTTTTTGTTTTCTTCATATATATGCACACAATTTGTCAGGTGGAAGTGACTTTGATCATAAAGTTTAAAGCTTTTGATTGAATTTTGCAGGTCTCGCTAGTTGTTGGAGTCAACTGTTCGAAAACACTTTTGGGAGGCTTTAAATAGAGAGAGAGGGGGGTTCAGCTTTAATATCTATCAGAGTTTCAGGAATCATGCTGATTCAGTCAACTCAATCGTGAAGACTTTGGTCAAATTTTGCAATACCCTTTGAAGAAAGAGAATTGAACGATTTAATAATCTCTGATAAGTTGTCCCCTTTGTTAGTTTGGAGACTAAAGAGAAACTGAGTTTGGGTTTGTTTTTTCTGTGATTGTTGAATATTAGATTTGTTTATTGAGAGCAATTCACTACTTCAAGTTCATTGGGGGTTTACCTTGGTTACCATGCATCATTAATTTGCTGTATTGAGTTATGGACAACAATGAATGAAGTAATTAAGGTTCCGGGGGTTGGTTTTGCATGCTTCTCCCCTTTGTCATTACTTGGAAGCGGTTGGCAGAATAAATGATGCTTCCTTTGTAATAATTTTATGGTAGTTGAGTGAGTTAATACATCGGGAATGGCTGCCTCTATGTTTAGTCTACTGTTGTTTGTGCAATTATCAAGATTCTTTGCCTCTGGGATTGAAGTAAAGTCGAAGATTTGCGGCGCCAATCACATAGCGTACTCAAACTCGAACTGTCATGAATTGTTTTATTTGAACGGCAATCTAGTAGATAAAGTTTTGTTCTGCAAGGTTCTGCAGTTTCACTATGAAGATAATTGTGTGCTGGAAGGCTATACCGGTGCAGACTGTGGTTTGGATGTTTCATTAGGTGACACATTATTTTGAGCTTCTAGTTTAAAATATTTCATCTAACAAGTGTTATGAATGTTTATTACATGATAGGATTAGATTTCTTAGAAACTTTATTGATGCATTTTGCTTTTGGCAGCCAATTTATCAGTCGGAAGAGGACGGAAATTATTGCACAACCCCAAGAAAGATGAGATACCCGATGATAATCTGGAGGGGAACACTAATCGTAAATATCCGGCCTCAACCAAAGTAGGGATAGCAGCAGCAGCTGGGGTATTTTTAACTTGTGTTTTTATATGCCCCTGTCTGTACAAGAAAAAGAGACCTACTGACCACGCTGTTCTTTCGAGGGATCTAAATACAAGTGAGTCTTAACTTACTTAGCTGTACCTGGTCGATCGGAATTTATGAAATTAGAGAAATCCTAAACAAGGTTTTTCTGCATATAAGATTCTACCATTAGATGCAAGTTTCAAATGAGTAGTCGATGATAATATTTTGGGTCTAAAGTTTTGTCTTTACTGCTTATAAACAATGTTGCGATGTTTATTTCCTATTTGTTATCATATCTTTGACAGTTCAACTTTCTTTTTTGTTCTTTCTAATGAATCATGATTTGCTTGTTCTGTTTCTAGTTATGAATGGATGGTTCCGTTTTTGCAGTTGAATCAGCTGCCCCTTCAGAAATGAGTGTTCATTCTCTTCCCGAGAAGGTTCCGGCCAGCCCACTCAGAGTACCCCCTAGTCCTTCAAGGTTCTCAATGTCTAACTCTCCGCAACTCTATAGAATCGGGTCAGTGAATCTCAATATGACACAAGTGAACAGAGCTACCCATAATTTCTCACCCACACTAAAGATAGGCGAAGGAGGGTTTGGAACGGTTTATAAGGCTCATCTAGATTCTGGCCAGGTTGTTGCGATTAAACGAGCCAAAAAGGTAATGTGAATCTGCTCACTTGGATTTTTTTTCTGCAGCTTTTTTATTTTTGGATCATGAACAGTTTTTAACTGTCTGCATGTTAGAGATACACAGGATTCTCCTATTGCATGTGTTCCTAAATAGGAGTACTGATAAAATACATTTAATAACGGAGTGCAGTGAATTACTCTCCTTTTACATGCATTCTTTAGTACATCAGATTAAGACAGAATTACGGAAGCATCTCGGATTTCATCATCTAATAATTTGTAGGGAAGATAACAGTGAATCAGTTGACATACGAGGACGCTAGCCTAGTAAGACTGACACAGACACTAGGCTTTGCTTAATATGAAGGATGAAAATCAGTGAGGATGAAAAGTGTGTTATTTAATTTGTTAAGACTCGTAACCACTTTCGTACTCTTTAGCTTAATCATTAGATTAGAATATTTTCCGTTCTCTCTTTTGCATATTCAGACCAAGCAGACCACCTAAGTTGTAAACTTGTGGAGTGGTTTGATCAAACAGGACGTTGAGCACGGGAAACTTTTATTGTTAACTGTTGGGGCTAGTGGATAATGAACACCAAAGAGTGTAACATATCCACATTGCATCAAATGTACCTAAAGTTTTATGCTTGTATCAATCTTGAAATTTTCTCACATTTATTTATTTATTATTTTAAAAGGATTCTTAGATATCGACTCTGTAAATCTCTTGGCAATTGTGACGGACTAGGAAATTGGAAGTGGCTTAAAATATTTAAGTTATTTTCTTGTGCCTGTTTCATGCGTTAAGGTTTAAGCCATCTTGTTCTACGCTAGAGCTGTTTGGTTGGCTGACATGAGTACATTGTCTAGGAACATTTTGAGAATCTGCAAACGGAGTTCAGCAGTGAAGTTGAACTTCTAGCAAAGATCGATCATAGGAACCTTGTGAAGCTACTTGGTTATGTGGATAAAGGAAATGAACGGCTTATCATTACAGAATATGTACCAAATGGTACTCTAAGAGATCATTTAGATGGTAAGTTCTCTTCCCACGATAAGTACCCAACTTTTTGGTAAATGATCTTGTTAAGGGCTTTTAAAAACCGTTATTATGCTGCTATTCCTGGCAGGTCAGCGTGGGAAGATCCTAGATTTCAATCAGCGTCTTGAAATCGCCATTGATGTTGCTCATGGCCTCACGTATCTCCATCTCTATGCAGGTAAGCAAACACTTCAGCTTTGTTGTGGTCCAAACCACTGCACTATAATAACACTCGTATATGGTCTTTTTATCATGGCCTCACACATTCTTATATTTCAGCCTACGCCTTCTCATAATATCTTTTTATCATGAACCAGAAAAGCAAATCATCCATCGAGATGTGAAGTCATCCAACATTCTTCTGACAGAAAGCATGAGAGCTAAAGTGGCTGATTTTGGATTTGCAAGAGTTGGCCCTATGGACTCTGACCGAACACATATTTCAACCAAAGTGAAAGGAACGGCAGGTTACCTTGATCCGGAGTATATGAAAACCTATCAACTCACAACCAAGAGTGATGTATACTCTTTCGGTATTCTACTTATGGAAATTCTGACTGGCCGCCGTCCCGTGGAGCTAAGGAGACCAGCTGAAGAGCGCGTGACTCCTAGATGGGTAAGCTTGCCCTTCATTCTCTTGTTAGGCTTTTGTTATTGTGTTTATTAGGGAACAGTCACATGGAGTAGCTGTAGACAATCTGCAATCAATATCTAATCAATGAATCTTTTTTCTTTGTTCACATACTCTGCTCTCACTACAAGTCTCATACAGAAAGAATTCGAAAACAATAACTTTGCTTCTAGTTTTTGCTTCTAGGTGGTCAGTTGGCTATTTGGGTTTTTAAGTTACTCGAGAGTCAAGATATCCGGTCTTCGAAAACAATAACTTGGTATTTGCTTCTAGTATTTTGCACGTCGGGATTCATGGTTTAATGTCCGTACAGGCGTTCCGTAAGTATAATGAAGGACATGTAGCGGAATTGGTGGATCCAAGGATGGAAGAATTTGTAGATGCAGAGATACTAACGAAGATATTTGCCTTGGCATTTCAATGTGCGGCACCCGTTAGAAATGACCGTCCGGAGATGAAATCTGTGGGAGAACAGTTATGGGCAATCAGGGCCGAGTACGTTAAGACTTCAAGGCGAGGGTAACTCTACGTAATCCAATAGCAGTTTCCTCTCCCCTTTGCTCATATCCTTTTATTTCCTAGTGTTTTTTTCCCTTTCCCCCCTTCTTTTGCAGTATACCGTAAAATCCAAATTTGGTCTTAACCAAAAGCTATGATTCGCTTTTCTGTTGTTCTTCGCCATTGCCTCTTTGACTGTGTGTCATTGTGACGGCATCAAAAGGAATTATTAAAGAATAATGCTTAAATTTCATTTTATTGGTGTGATAGTAAATGCTCCTCAGTACATTGCAACTGCATCCGATAATTCGATACAATTGTATCTTAAATATGATTATAACATGAAAACACAAATTATCGAATCAGAATTCTTACGGCAGTGAAAAGATCTATGCTTATAATACTTGCATGCTGGAGATCGACCTGCCTCAACTTCTACTGTAAGTGCAAAATACAGATTCAAAGGATTCGACGTGCTAGCCTTTCACTTGCGAGTTAAACGAGATCTGCAACAATGAATGAGATCCCCCACTAGAATAGTTTCAATAAAAAGGGCAATTGAAACCTCAATCTTTTCCACATGCTCCTTCCCAACAATGGATGCAAACCAAAGATGTGTTCTAGCATGAAATCGTGCCTTGTTAATATGCCCACCACAGGTTCTCTCTGCATTTACACCATTAACCATTTAAATCAGAATTCAGAAACATGGACCATGCGCTTAAGGAAAATGAATATGGAAAGTGTTTCTTACGCTGGAGATCTTTGGTATGACGAGTAGGTGTCGCAGACCAACTTCACGGAAAAGTGTGAGAGCCTTAGCTAGTGACATTGTCTCAACAACTGTATACGGCGAAGCGTTTGTAAAAGGGTGTAGATCCAAGAACATGTCCATCTCCTCATCAGTTAATTCTGTCTTCTATCTTGTCAACGTTACCCAATCCCTTCTTTGCAAAATCGTCTGCTGAGAAATGCCTAAAAGCATCAACGCCTAACCGAATAGGGGTGGACAAGAATGCTTTCTTCTTTAGCAGTGCAATAAGATGAGCACGGAGTATCAAACCACACAAAACTGGGGATTCAGAACCTGGAGATGCATCGATAACTGGAAACCCGTGATGCCTTGTGGTTTTAAGGATGTGTACTATGTTGCCGATCTTCTCAATTCCATGAAAGAGCTGAAGTGGACCGGAGGCAACATCAGCAACAGTTAACTGTCTCATGTAAGGTTCAGCATGAGTTTCTAGGTATGGAAAACCTTTTACTTTCATAATAAGGTCATAAATGTTGCCATTGAAAGCATCAGCAACAGTCTTGGAAACAAGGAGAACCATCATTATTAATGGCAAAAGTAACAGGTTATTGGTCAATTCCAGAATTATAACACACAAGGCGACTGTCATCCTCATAGATCCACCTAGGAATGAAGCCGCACCAAGTATGGCATAAAGACCATGACCAAGATTTGTGTGAGAACCAAGTAATATTGCAATGAAGCGCCCATAAGATGCTCCGGTTACTATTGCAGGCACAAATAGACCTACTGGAGCGACAATGCCATAGCTAAAAATACTTGGAATAAAGCAGGTGACAAAAAACACGAGCATTGTTGAGAGATGAAACTCAGCGGCAGTATTCTTGCTAAAAATATTTTTGACAGCATCATCGTTTGTGTTGAAAATGAGGCTTGCAAGATCATTGTAATGACCAGGAGGGCAGTGAAATCTCTTGTAGTTACCAGATCGACCTATTGTGGGACAGGCTTCAGGTGCATCCGAGGGGCACGGTTGGCAAGATGCAAGCCATGGTAATCCGAAAAGCAGACATGATGTGCAAATCGAGATTATGCAAGCAATAAAAATTTGATAAATAATGCCTTTCCTGAGAGGAGAAAAAAGTGGGGAAATAAGCAAGGAGAATAACCCTTTAAATTATATTATACCAAATTCTGAAAATGGTAATTGGTGCAAAAACACACATCTGAAAAATAGAACTTACTCATAAATGAAGTTGTAAACTCGGATAACCTTAGTTAAAAGGAAATTGTATAAACTTCCTAATATGCCCCCAATAACTCCAAGAACAAAAACAGAAGAAACATCAGCAATGTGATACGAAACACTTGCTGAATAGGCATCAAACATTATCAAACCCCCTTTACCAAATAGCCCACATTTGCCACTGTAACAAACATCAATTAGGGCTAGATGTATGATTGCAACAACAGCAGTCGTAAAGAAAGCCCTCCAAAGAAGGGCACTTTTCCACCTGCAGAGCAGAACCAGGATATTATCTTAAGGTGTCAACTTTTGGCTATTTGGTCTTGTCAGAAAGACACCATGAACACCCTGTGCTTGATGAATGAAAGAGAAAATGAAAACGGGACGTCTGTAAAACCTTAAAAAATACCACTTAAGAGCAGTATGCAGTGACACCTAGTACACTGCTGAAAGGATGGCTAATAATAATATCAAGATGATGTTCCAAACGATGTAACAATTTTGCATACCAAGATGACATTTCTTCAAGAGCAAACACCACGCCTCCAACTGGGGCACGGAAAGCAGCAGCGATTCCAGCAGCTGATCCACATGTTACAAGATCTCGTCGGTCTCTGTCATTCTTAAAGAAACGAAGCCACTTCCATGTTAAGCCATATCTTCTTGACCCGCCCTGTCCGAACAATGATGCAATGCATGAACCAATATGCACCATAGGCCCTGCTTTTCCAACCAGCAGAGATGAAGACACTGCAGAAATGCTTCCCACAATCTGCTCATCTAACACAAGTATTAATTTCTAGTTTTCTACCATAAAATGGAAGAAATGGAAAAGAAAGAACAGTGGTTGTTCTTCCTCAATTCTCAAAAAGTGGAAAAAATTAATTCCAATATAAATGTCGAACATTGAAATATAAAAGTGGAAAAAATTAATTCCATAACTAACTAGGTATTAACTCAATTAATTAGCAATTTAAAATAATTAGAATCAACAAACACAAACATATTATAAAATTTAGGGAAAAACAGCTCTTCACTAGCATTAGAGGTGCAAAAAAAATTCGAATATTCGATTTTGCGCAAAAAATATCCGAAACTGGATTTGGGAAAAATCGATTTTTTTAAACCGGATCGGATATTTAAAAACCGGATAGTATAACCGGTTTGAAAAAAATTAGACGATCGGTTTTTTTATCGGATTATAAACCGGTTTGAAAAAAACCGGATAAAAAACCGGTATGGGGTTTTAAAAACTAGCCGTTGAGGGTTTTTGTGACCGTTTTTTTTCTAAAAAATCACCATTTTACCACCCTAAACATGTATAAATAGGTTGATGATGTATTTGGTTGATTACAACTTTCTCAAATCTTATTACACAACACCTAAACATCTCTCAAATCTTATTTTTGTAATTTTTTGTTCATCATGGCTACAAACCGGTTTTTTTCAAACCGAAACCGATTACACCATCCGGCCATTCAAACCAATTAGGATCCGAATCGATTTTTTTAAAATCCGATTTTTTAACTAGGTCAAAAACCGAATCGATTTTTTATCCGACTTTGTGTATGTCTACTCAGCATCAAGCTGAACATCACAAAGGATCTTCGGTAAACTAACAACTCATCGTTTGTAATTGAACTTTTAAAAAGAATTAGCTAATAAGCAATAATTACCTTAACCATTAAAGTTCGCGGTGAAAATATATGCGGCGCATCCACACCGTTCAAGTAAGCCTTCACTTCCGGTATACCTGAACCGGTAGCAGCGGGAGAAATAAACGCCGTTAGGATGGCTGCAAAGAGAGTTAGGACCAGATTTGATACAGAAAACACTAGAAATGCCATCCCGTACCTGTACGAATAAATTTTAAAAAAATAAAATTTCTTCAAAATTACTATTTTTCTAAAGCGATACAACAGTGGACTAGTGGAGTATTTAAGAATTTTTTTGCTGATAAAGTTATTCGAATATTTGGAGCAAATTATTCCCGGATAAAAAAGATTACTGATATACAAAATTCATCAGTAATTCAAAAAGAAAAAAATAAATAAAGATACCTTCGTGACAACATCATGTTAGAAGTGACGACGAACTTAACACCGGCGATATTCTCCACGGCGAGATTATTGAAGAAACCAACTAAACTGACTGAACTGCCGATCAAGAAACAGAGAAGCCATTACATGAAAATATACTGAAAAATCTGGAACTTTCCACGTGTTCGCCAGTCCTGTTTGAAGAAATCATTCTCCGCAATCCTTAAAATGAAAGAGCAACACTGAACCGATTTTAAAATTTTAAAAATATAAGCAGAAATAAAGAAAAATAGGTAAGAAGAGAGATTACTCGTAGTCGAGGCTTTCGAAAGGGCAGACGTCGGCGACCTGAGAGGTAGAATTAATGGATCGTTGTTGTTGAAAGAGTAAAGGAACGGTGAGAGGATCTTGGTCCGGGTCGTGGGATTCGATTTGGTACGGCGGCGCATGCTCTGACATGGCCTCACGTGGCACGGAGTTTTGGGCTGGTTGGTGGAGCTTGGGCGGAGGCTTGAGACAGTATAAAGAGAGACGTGGAAGGGAAGATAAAGAGAATTTATGTTACTAATTTGAAAAGAAAACCGCACGAGAATCTATAAATACAAAAATAGAGAGATAAGAGAGTGTAACAGAATTTAGAAGACAAGTGAAGGTTCAATCTAACTTAATGAATGGTATTGATACCAACCACAACCAAAATGAAAATAAATTTGGACGGTTGGATGAAGGGAGAATTTAAACCATTTAATCTCAATCGTTGAGTAAAAAATTATAATCGATAAAAGATAGTATTTGTTTGAAAGATCGACTCTGATAGTCAAAGATAGATTATGTCAAAATTAATGTTGACGGAGCGCAACGGAATGAAGTTGGGTTTGCAGCGTGTAGAGGTGTGATTCGCGACCATGAAAGAAGATGGATCCGGGGCTTCTCGAAGATCATTGGCAAATGTTCGGTCCTTGACGCCGAGCTTTGGAGGATGTTCGAGGTCTATCTTTAGCGCGGAGTATGAGCCTCTCTTCAGTTTTAGTTGAATCGAACAACAAAGATGTTTTAGCCGAGGTTGCTGCACAACAAGGAACAGAGACATTCTTCCTCGATGATTTTTCATGTTGCTAACATGGTTCATCGCTGCTG